GGAACGACGCCGTGCGAACTTTGACACTGGACTCGCAAGTGGAGCTCCCGGGGGGACGCTATGTGAACCCTGCCCTCCTAAGGGGCCGTTTGCACTTTTTCTCAGCTTTCCCACAGCCCCCTTCTCCTCCTCCCCTCCTCCTCCCCTCCTCCTCCCTCCTCCCTCCTCCCTCCTCCCTCCTCCTCCTCCCTCCTCCTCTTCTCCTCCTCCTCCTCCTCTGCCTCCTCCTCCTCCTCCTCCTCCTCCTCCTCCTCCTCCTCCTCCTCTTCCTTCTTATCCTCTTCCTTCTTCTTCTCCTCCTCCTCCTCCTCCTACTCCTTCTCCTCCTCCTCCTTCACCTCCTATCCTTCCTCCTCCTCCTCGTTCTCCTCCTCCTCCTCCTCCTCCTTCACCTGCTCCTTCGCTTCGCTCGGGCGGTTTGCAATACTTCGGCAATGGTGCTCTCGCCCATCCGTGGCCGCACCTTGATCCAAGATTTGCGCAGCCACCCCAGCACTGACCACACTCTCCAATACGAGCGGTACTGTCGCCTCAGAGCCAGCCACAGCCCTCATTACAGATGATGCTGCCAGTCGCGCACAAGCCTCATTCCTGGATGGGATTGGCGATCTCGCCCGAGCGCTGGCCACACCCCTGTCTGGGAGTCATGCTGCCGTCTGCGCGCTGGCCACATCCTTCATGGAACGCAGCACTCATTTCGCAGCGCCGGCCACGCCTCTCATTGGCTATTGTGATGCCGATCCACTCGCACGATTCCCACAGCCCTCATGGGATAATGGTGCTCCGCCCAAGCGCCAGCCACATTCATTCCAAGATTTGTGCTACCGCCCCAGCGCCGGCCGCATCCGTGTGTGAGACTGGTACTCATGGTTCTCTCGTTTGAGCCTCGGCTACATCCGTCTTTTACGAGCGCCACCTCTGGCGCGAGACAACTGGCGACCGCAGCTGCCGTCCCTTCGTGCTAGGCGAGTGCCGAACCTGGCGTTCGGCTTGGACGGAACGCGTCGGGTCTGTTGCCAATCGGGGCTGCGCCAGTTTAGCCCCCCCAACGTCAGGTTCGGGAATGAGTCGTAGCAACACTGCGGCTAGATCAATATGCGAACCGCAGAGTCAATAAAACATGCATGCGCAAGGATGAAGATTAGAAGGCGAAGCGCAGCAAGCCTTAGAAGATTGTGTATGTATAATTTAAAAATTCATATAAGCATGCATACACAGAAATAACACGCATATATATACACATATGTCTGCATCACTACGTCAGTAAGTATATTTAAGTAGGCTCGCGCCATAAGCGATTTGGACACCCCTAGCATACAAACTGACAAGTTACCGCACGTGCCAGCCCCCTGGGCCTACACGTTGTAATGGGAAACACGCGCCACATGCAGACAGTAAACCCTGGTCTGCAAACTATACTTGAACATACGTGTCATGTTGGACACCTTCATCTGAGTTTCGAGTTATACGTCAAAACTGTTGCCACGTGCATCTCAGGTACACCGTAGCCAGCCACATGAACGCTAGAACAAGTGCCACATGCATGTTGGACACCCCCTGACATGCAGGTTGTACGCTGCAGCACGTGACACATGCAAGTGTGACACTCCCCAACCTAGACAATATGGGATTAAATGCATGCCAGGTGAATGATGTAGATACCTCTGGCCCATACATCCGATGCAAAAGCAAATACCGACCAGCATGCTGGATACCCTCCTGGCCTAAAAAGTGTAAGTCCCACCAGCCCTTTGGGCGTGAGTGGTTTAGGGAGCCCGCTCTGTTCTCAACCCCCCTTCTTCCCCTTCGGGGAGGGGTTTACCCCTCCCCCTACCCCCTCCCCCTGGGCCTGGAGAGGGCGCCCAGCGGGTCGTTGGAGGGGTCTTTTTCGACTCCTGGGAGGGCTAAAAAACGACGACCATCACGAGGATTCTGGCCCCGACGGGGGGGCACCGTTTGGCCCCCCTCCTCTTCTTTAAAGCCAGAATCATTGATTTTACTACGGTTTGGGCCCCATTTTGGCGTCCTGAGGGGGCCGCGCTCATCTTCCTTCATAGCAAAATCATTGATTTTACGAAGGTTTTCGGCTCATTTTGTCCTTCTCAGGGGGCAGCTCTCATTTGCGCTTCTGAGGAAGAGGCCCCCAAGAGGCCCCCAAGAGGCCCCACGAGGCTCCAAGAGGCCCCCAAGAGGCCCCACGAGGAGCCCGAACGACTCACACCAGGACGAGGCGCCCGAACGACTCACACCACGAGGAGCCCGAACGACTCACACCAGGACGAGGGCCCCGAACGACTCACACCACGAGGAGCCCGAACGACTCACACCAGGAGGAGGAGCCCGAACGACTCACACCAGGACGAAGGGCCCGAACAACTCACATCACGAGAGGACCGAACGACTCACGCAAGGACGAAGAGCCCGAACGACTCAAACCACGACGAAGAGCCCGAACGACTCACACCAGGAAGAAAGGCCCGAACGACTCACACCAGGACGAGAGGCCCGGAGATATGCGGGGCAGGCGGAAACACGCCTGAAAAACACGACTGTCGGTATGCTTCGCAAGAGTTGCTGTTTTGAGATGGGCTGGTGGGGATACGCGAAGCGTAAAGAATTAAAGCACGTGCCGCATGGATGTTGAATACCCCCGCTGGGCTACGAGTTGCACATTAAAATACGTGCTGAATGCATGCTGGATACCCACAAGTCTCCAAGTTATTTCTTCAAACACATGAAACATGGATGCTAGACACCCCCTAGCACATGAATTGCAAATTTAACGCATACCAAGTGCGTGTTGGATGTACCCGTGGCATACCATGTGTTTAACTACACATGTACCACATGCATGTTGGCTACCTCCATGGCCTAACATGTGCAAAATGCAAGTTGGGCACCACACGCCTCATTCGTGAAAGCACGTGCCAAATGCACCCGTGCCACATGCATGTAGACTCGCTTCGCCTGGGCATCTCTTCGCCTGTCTCTCTTCGCCTGTCTCACTTCGCCCAGTCTCCCTTCGCCCGGTCTCCCCTCGCCCGCGTCACGGATCGCCCGCGCCTCGCTTCGCCAGTATCTCTCTGCCCAGACCCTCTTCGCACGCGTCGCCCTTCGCTCGCGTCTCTCTTCGCCCTCGTCTCCCTTCACCCGCGTCTCGCTTCGCATGCGTCTCTATATTCGCCCAATCCCTCGCCCCTCGCGTCTCGCTTCGCCCGCGCATCCATTCGCCCGCGTCTGTCTTCGCCCGCGGCTCTGTTTACCGACGTCTCTCTGCGCTCGTCCACGCACACCTGGGTGAGCCCTGCCCGCCCGACAGGGTCCGCCCGCCCGCCCAAAGGACCCGCCCGCCTGCTAGTCGGTCAGTCAGCCAACCAGTCATGCCGTACTCCGCAGCGCGTGGGCGAAGGAAGATACTACCCGCCTGATCTCTCCGCTTTGCGGAAGCGGCGGCACATGGGCGGCATCTGAATGTACATCGTGCGCGGCCGGGCGGGGGGAGGAGGGGGAGGAGGGGGAGGAAGAGGAGGAGGAGGAGGAGGAGGAGGAGGAGGAGGAGGAGGACGACAGGGCGGAGGACAAGGAGGAGAATCCACAAAGTTAGCTGCGAGTTTGCGCCAGTCCCCCCTCCGTTTTGTGTGGACGAGGAGGATGAAGATGGGAGGAAGAGGAGGAGGAGGAGGAGGAAGAGGAGGAGAAGGAGGAGGAGGAGGAGAAGAGAGAGGAGGAGGAGGAGAGGAGGAGGGGAGGAGGAGCAGAAGGAGGAGGAGGAGGAGGAGGAGGAAGAGGAAGAGGAAGAGGAGGAGGAGGAGGAGGAAGAGGAGAAGGAGGAGGAGGAGAGCGCGGCCACAAGAACTCCCGACCACGCGCAGCCACCACAGCGCGAGACAGCTCAACGGCTGCGAGAAAGAAGAGCCTCGAACCAGGAAGGCACCGTGGTCGCCGCACAGGCGCACACCGCAACGGATGCACCGACCCTGCTCGGCAGTGCCCCCTCCGACGGGCCCGCCCGCCCACCCGCCCAACGGGGCGGACCCCCTCCGACGGGCGCGCGGTCACGTGGGGCTCTCCGACGGGCCCGACGTCACCGCGCGCCCGCCCAACGGGGCCCACCCGCCCGCCGGCCCACCTCCGCCGCGGCGCCCGCCCGCCCGCCCTCGCTCGGAGCCAGCCCGCCCGCCCCTCGGGGGGCAGCCGCTCCCCGCCGGCCCGCGAGGCCCTGAAGGGCGGGGACCCCGTGGGCGTTTCCTCGGTTTGGCTGCTGTTTTCCTCGCCCTGGCTTGTTTCTTTTCGGTCTGGGGGTGTTGTTCCTCGGTATGTCTGTTTGTCCTCGGCTTGTCTTTGCTGGTCCTCGGTCCGGGTTTCTGCTCCTCGGTCTGGGTTCTTCCTCGGTTTGGGTTTTTCGTCCGTCTGCCTCCGGCTCCGTCGCTCAAGAAGAAGTCACCCCCGACCCCCGCCCCCAGCCACGACCCACACTGCCAGCCTGGTGATCCAGGGGGTCCTGGCTGGAGATGGGGACGGCTTCTAACCCCCCAAAAAACCTCCTTGCCCACAGCCAGGACCACCCTTGATCACCCTGGCTGGAGGTGGGGGTGGGCCGTGCTGCCTTCAGCAGAGCGGGGACCGCGGCGAACTCTGCCATGGACGCTCGACTCTCTGTCCGCACTGGCGGCGCGGACGTCGGTCCGCGGCGAGGTCCAGGGGAGGAGGAGGAGGAGGAGGAGGAGGAGGAGGAGGAGGAGGAGGAGGAGGAGGAGGAGGAGGAGGAGGAGGAGGAGGGAGGAGGAGGAGAGGAGGAGGAGGAGGAGGAGGAGGAGGAGGAGGAGGGGAACTGCAGAGGGGGCCAGGCCTGCTCGGAAGGCTCGGCAGGCCTCGGGCCTTCCGCGAAGGGCTCCGAGCCCCCTCCGCGGGCGCAGGGCGGCTTCTCACGGGGCCGGAGGGCCTCTGGAAAGCCCCGCGACCTGCTGGGAAGGCCTGCCCCCCCGGCGGCGGGCGGCGGCCTTGGTATTGTCCAGCCTGTCCTTGGCCTCCCAGGCTGGTCCGAGGAGGTACTCGTTCGGCGCTGCGGCGTAGGCGTGGCGCGTGGCGTTGTAGGCCGCGGCCGCGCGCCGCGCCTGCCCCTCTGCAACTCGGAGGCTCTCGATGCATCGGGAGTCGTCTGCGACCCTCCTCTGGTCCGCATCGTGCTGGTCCTGCAGTCTCCTGACAGCATCATGCAAGTCGTTGCTGACTTTCGTCAGGGCATCTACTCTAGACTTCTGGGCATCCAGTGATTCCGACAGCTCAGATATCTTGAGCTGGACAGGGCGGCTTCTTTCTCTCATCTTCTCGAGCACCCCCTGTGCGCTTCTGAGCGTGGCACTGGCGTGATCGAAATCTTTCTGCGCCTCCTGCTGCTGGATCTCCCGCTTCTGGAGCAATTCCTCTGCGTCGCTTGCAGTCCTAGAATCCTCAGCCTCCCGTTTCTCTGCTTCTCTTAGCTCAGCCTGCGCAGCGTCGAGGGCCGTCTGCTTGTTCTCCTCATCGGCGTACGCTGACGGGATCTCGTCGGGGGCGCTTCCAGTAATGACGGTTTCGAGGTGGGCTGTAGCATTCGCGAGAGCTTCGTTTGCCTGCCTCACCACTGCTGTCCTGGCTGAAACTGCCGCTCGCGAGGCGTCGAGGGCTTTCTTGGCCTGCTTCACGTCCGCAGAAGCCTCCTGTGCGTTCGAGGCGCTGGACTGCAATGCATCCGCGGCAGCTTCCCTGTCCTCGCTCGCCTTCTCCACTCTTTTCTTCTGTTCCTCCAGCTGGATGTGTGCACTTTCGATCACCCTCTTGACTTGGTCGAGCTCCCGTTGGATGATCGCTAAGATCGATTGGTTATGTTTGAGGCAGTCGTCTGCGATGCTACAGGATCTCTTGATCTCTCCGAGCTCAGGGGCCCGTGCCTGCAAGGTCTTAATATCTGCGGCTTTCTTCTGGACTGCATCGCCCACTGTCCAGTAAACTGTGCCAGCGGCAGACGGTAAGAAGAGTACACGAGCAACAAGCCCGAACATTGCGCAAATGTGCTTAGATATTGCTAGGGCGGCTCACAGTTGCCGGCCACTGACCTCGTCAGAGTTATTCTCTTCAGCCCAGACGGCCTGGAAGCGATTGCGACCATGTGGAGCACTGGAAAAAAGGTGGGGAATGGAGGCTGGTGCTCGGGTGCATGACGATGTTGCTGCTGACACGTGCAGCTGCCCGCCGACCCCTGGGGTCACCGGGAGTGTCAGGCTCCTCCCCCTGGGCCCAAAATCCTGGATTTGGGGGGGGGAGGGTCGAGCTCGCCCGCTCCGTCCGTCCTGGACGGCGCAAGCGGGTGCCGAGATGCCGCCCTGACTGCCATAGCGAGCAACGGGGAGGCCACCAGGACGGCCCAGGAGGCCTTCAAGACGACCGAAGATATCCACAAGGCCCCAGGAAGCACCCACGAGGCCCAAGAGACTCCAAGCGAAGCTCCACATATCAAGAATATGAACACGAGAGGCCCAAGAGCGAGTAAGGAAATCCAACAGCCATTTCGACGTATGTGATATCACGAACTCGTTATTCCAACCTCCTTCCTCTCCTTGGGGAAAAGGCTCACCTCTCCCCTATACCCCCCCTCCCTGGGTCTGAAGGGGGCGTTCCGCGAGGCGTTAGAGCGTCCAAGGTAACACAAGATGGCTCCAAGAGAGCCCCAGATAGCCCAAGATGGCCTGCAAGTTCGTCAAGATAGCCCATGATGGTTCAAGATAGCCTCCAACATGCCTCAAAGAGGCGCCATGACCGCCCCGAGACGATTCCAAGTGGCCACGGAGTCTCCCAAGGACCCTCCCGAGAAGCCAAAATCCTTTTGGAACATATGAAAACAATGTGTGTTGTCTTCTGGGCAGTTCGCTTCCGGCGGGTTTTTGAGGCCGCTAGACGGCTCCAAGATGACCGAAGAGAGCCCCAAGAGGCTTCCGAGAGGTCTCCAAGAGATCCCCACAAGCATCCAAGAGGCCTCTGACCTACAACCCAGGCACGGTGGCGGGACGGGCCGAAGGTCACTAGATCCGCCGCCCCCTGTTGATTCATCGCAAGGTTGCCTGGCGTGCTAGATGCTACCGCTTTTGGTCGTGGTTCTCTTTTCAAAAGAATCGAAGACGCCGACGGCGAATCACCGCCGCCCCCTGCCTTTTGAAATCACCCATGTGGCCGAGCGTTGTGGCAAGAGTTCTGTTATCGGACCATGTGTTCCCCCAACCGTTGTGGAAACCCTTCGGGGAACACTTGGGGGAGGATGGCGGGGAAGATGAGGAGGAGGAGGAGGAAGAGGAAGAGGAAGAGGAGAAGGAGGAGGAGGAGGAGGACGAGGAGAAGGAGGAGGTGGAGAAGAAGGAGGAGGAGAAAGAGGAGGGAGGAGGAGGAGGAGGAAAAGGAGGAGGTGGAGGAGAAGGAGGGGGCATCTTGGGAGCCTCTGGGTGCACTCTTGGGGCCTCCTGGGAGCTTCCTGGGAGCTTCTTGGAGACATGTTGGGGGCCTCCTTGGGCCTCTTGGGGGCCTTTGGGGGCTTCTCGGGGGCCTCTTTGGCCGTCTCAGGGCATTCCTGGCCCGTCTGACGCCGTCGGAAACAGTCTTGGGGCCTCTCTGGGCCGACTTGAAACCCGCTCGGGGTGATCCGTAGCCATCTTGGAGGCCATCTCGGGCGTATTGGAAGCCCCTTGGGCTGCCTGGGAGCCTCGTGGGGCCGTTTTGGGGGCCTCTTGGGCGATATTTGGGGGTCTTGGGCCGTCTTGGGCCGTCTCGGGGCGTCGGAAGGCTGAAAAAAAAAATGCCAGCATCCTTCAAAACCTCCAGACAAACAAATAGGATGTTGGCCTCATCGGGCCTTCCTGGAGACCCTCTTGGAAGCCTCTTGGGCCGTCTTGGAAGCCTCTTGGGGGCCTCTTGAGCCGTCTTGGGCCATCTTAGAACCATCTTGGGCCGTCTTGGTGGGCTGATGGCCCGTGTGACGCCGTCGGAAGCTGTCTTGACGCCTCTCTGGGCCGATTTGGGGCCCTCTTGGGGTGCTCCAGGGCCGTCTTGGAGGCCATCTTGGGCGTCTTGGAGGCCTCTTGGGCCGTTTGGGGGCCCTCCTGGGGCGGTCTTGGGGTCGTCTTGGGCCATTCTGGTGCCATCTTGGAAGCCTCTTGGGCGATATTGGGGTGATCTTGGAGGGCTCTTCGGCGGTCCCGGGGCGTGCCGAAATCCCTCAAAAATCCGAAGACCACAGATGAGCGTGGCCTCCGCGGGCCCTGCCGGAGGACGTCAATGGGGGCGTCTTGGGAGCCTCCCGGGGCCGTCTTGGAGACGTCTTGGGCGGACTCGGGGCGGCCATGATGTTGATGCTGATGACGATGATGATGATAATGATGATAATGATGATGATGATGATGATGATGATGATGATGATGATGACGATGATGATGATGATGATGATGATGATGACGATGAGGATGATAGGAGGGGAGAGGAGGCGGAGGAGGAGAGGAGGAGGAAGGAGACGCGGGGCACCGTCTCTTCAAAACGAGGACCCAACACCACACGATGGTTGGGAAATAGTGTAGGGACGATTTCTGCATCATTTTTTGACTATGTGACAACGCCATCTTGGGCCGTCTTAGTGGCTTCTTCGGCGGATCGGGAGGCAATTTGGACCATCCTGGGCCATCCTGGAGGCCACCTTAGCCAAAGTGACCATTTCAGAAGCCATCTGGAGCCGTCTTGGAGAACTGTTTGCGAACGTTGAGATCGTTTGCGTTCGTTTGCGTTTTTGCTTTTGGTGGCCGACGGGACGGGCCTAAGCCGCAGGGGAAATTCTTCTTGGGGAAGAAAAACGGTAACATCTAGCACGCCCGGTACCCCTGCGATGAATCAACAGGGGGCGGCGAACTCCCCTTGCCACTTCGGCCCTTCCCACTGGCCACACTGAAAAAGCGCAAACGACCGCAAACGACCTCAACGTCCGCAAACAAGTCCCCATGACTGTTCAAGATGGCTTTAAAGATGGTCACGTTGGCCCAAGATGGCCTCCAGGATGGCCCAAGATGGTCCAAGTTGCCTCCCAATCCGACGAACAAGCCACCCAAACGGCCCAAAATTGCTCCAAGATGCCTCCGAGTCCGCCCAAGACGTCTCCAAGATGGCCCAAGACGGCCCAGGAGGCTCCCAAGACGCCCCCAAGACGTCCTCCAGGAGGGCCCGCAGAAGCCAAAATCATTGGTTGTCCTCTGATGTTTGAAAGATGTTGGCATTTGTTTGTTCCGACGCCCCGAGAAGGCCAACGAGCCCCCAAAGATCGCCCCAAGATCGCCCAAGAGGCCTCCAAGATGGCCCGAGGCTCGCCAAAGGGGCCCCCAAGAGGGCCCCAAGACGGCCCAAGAGGCCTCCAAGACGTCCAAGATGTCCTCCAAGATGGCCCAAGAGGCCCCCAAGAGGACCCCCAAGCGGCCCAGGAGGCCTCCAAGACGCCCAAGATGGCCTCCAAGACGGCCCTGGAGCACCCCATGAGGGCCCAAAATCGGCCCCATAGAGGCCGCCAAGACAGTTTCCGACGGCGTCACACGGGCCAGGAGCCCACCAAGGCGGCCCAAGATGGCTCCAAGATGGTTCAAGACGGCCCAAAAGACCCCCAAGAGGTCTCCAAGATGACCCAAGAGGCCTCCAACAGGGCCCCCTATGCAGGCATGATTTCTCGCAAGTGTTCAAAAGATTCTGGCACTTGCTTATTCCCATCCATCCTGCGGTGCTGGGTCCTCGTCTTGAAGAGACGGTCCCCGCGATCCTCCTCCGTCCTTCCTTCCTTCCCCCCCTCTTCCCGCCTCCACCTCCTCCCTGCGTTTCACCCACCCAGCACAGCGCTTCGTGGCCCCATAGGGAGCTCCACTGAAGGCCCCAGCTGTAGGTTTCGCACGGCGGCCTCGGGCCATTTCGGCACACGTCTCACGAGGATCGTGGCCCCATATGAGCTCCACCAAAGGCCCCACCAGCAGGGTTCGCATAGCGGCCTCGGGCCATTTCGGCACACCCCTCACGAGGATCGTGGCCCAATAGGGAGCCCCACCGGAGGCGCCAATGGCAGGGCTTGCGCGAAGGCCGCGGGCCATTTGGGCACACCCCTCACGAGGACCGTGGCCCCATAGGAGCTCCACCGAAGGCGCCAGCGGCAGGGATAGCACGGCGGCCCCGGCCCGTTCCGGGGCACCCCTCACAAGGATCGTGGCCCCATAGGAAGGTCCACCGAAGGCCCCAATAGCAAGGTTTGCATGGCGGCCCCGGGCCTTTTCGGCACACCCTTCACGAGGACAAGGGCCCTATAGGGAGCTCCACCGAAGGCGCCAGCGGCAGGGTTCGCGCGGCGGCCCCGGGCAATTTCGGCACACCCCGCACGAGGATCGTGGCCCCATAGGGAACTCCACCGAATGCCCTAGTGGCAGGGTTCGAATTGCGGCCCCGGGCCATTTCGGCACACCCCTCACGAGGATCGTGGCCCCATAGGGAGCCCCACCGAAGGCGCCAGTGGAAGGGTTAGCATGGCGGCCTCGGGCCATCTCGGCACACCCCTCACGAGGATCGTGGCCCCATAGGAGCTCCACCGAAGACGCCAGCGGCAGCCTCCCGCATGGCTCTCAGAGCCCTCTCCTGCTTCTGCACCTCGGTCAGAGGGGCGCTGTACTCGTCGTCGTCGGCGCCCGCGAGAACGGCCACGAACGCGTCCCTGAGCTTGTCGGGCTCCGGCGGGAAGCCGTGGCCTCATGGGGAGCGCGGGCGAAGATGGTATTCACAATTGCGGTATTCACAACTGCATATGGTTGGGTCCTTCGCCATGCTGATGTTTTTTCCGCCTTCCGACGCCCGATACGCCCCAAAAACTCCCAAAGATCGGCCCAAGATTGCCCAAGAGGCCTCCAAAATAGCCCCTGAATGGCCCAAGAGGCCCCCAAGAAGGCCCCAAAACAGCCCAAGAGGCCCCCAAGACGCCCAAGATGGCCTCCAAGACAGCCCTGGAGCA